TGATTGATAGCAGTTAAGTGGCCCTGCTCGGACCAGCTCGTCGATGTGGTCAGACTACAGAAGTACCCGCACGCATGGATACAGACATAACCCTAGCCCTTCTCTCCAACACAGGGACACACTCTCACCTCAGGACAATTCCACATAACCTAGCATGCATGTTTTGTTGTTCATGGGAGGAGACCAAAGCATCAATGGAAAACCGTCTCATGCATGGGGAGAACATGCTGAATCCATGCAGAAATGCCACAGCTAGGATTCAAACCTGCAACCCTCTGGCTGTGAGGCAGCAGTGCTTCCAAATGTGCCTCAACATAGCCCGTGCTGCAAGGTTAACTACGCAATGGGACGAGTACGCCTCCTTTTGTTGTAGAGGAAATGTGTGCACTCAGCCTTCAGATCCACCTTCTCTATCTGCTTAGACCAGTAGTACTCACTCCCGGTCCTGGAGAGCTGGTGTCCAGCATGTTTTCCTTGTTTCTCTGCTCCAACACACCTAACCAGGGGTGGACTGGGACCAAAATTCGGCCCTGGCATTTTTACGAATCGTCGGCCCTCAGTCAGCCTTTCCCATTGGGAGAGCGTTGGGTTGGGGGGTGTTGCCGTCCGCGGACTTGTCTCTAGGCCAGACCGCTGCGACCGGGAGCCCTGGCCTTCCAGATCAGCTCATTCTCCACGGGCGGAGGTCAGTGGGACATTAGCTACATGCTAACGCGGTAAAACAACTCCTACATCATCGCTCTACCGCGTTTTTCTTGCTAAAAATGCCTGGAAAAACTCTGTTAACTTCAGGTTACCATGTAGCCAATGCTCTGCAGATCACCAACTGTGGAGTAGTGTCAGCCCAAGCTGGGCAAGCAGCCCATTTGGCTAAGCGGCCCACCAGGACAGTACCAGAATGCCAGATAGGCCAGTCCACCCCTGCTAACCCAATGGTTGAATCACCTGTGCAGCAGCGCTTCAGAAGCCTGCTAATCACCTGCTGATTGAAATCAGGTGTGTTGAAGCAGAGTCAAAACTAAAACATGGATACCGGCTCTCCGGGACCAGGAGTGAGCACCGCTGGCTTAAACTGTGGGACACCTTCTCGTCTCCAGGTTGGAGTTTAAGCATTGATGCACGGCGACTGAATGTGTCGCACCACAGAGATGCTCTTCTGGACTGAGATCCGGAAACTAAGAAGGTGGATTTTTTTTACACAGTTCACTAACAGTCGTTTACCAGCCCTGCGCCGGCGATAATTACACGCCACTGCAGCAGAAGGTAGCAGTTAGAGCTGACTCACTGCCCTCACGAGCAGGTGGATTTAGTCAGCGGTGAAACTCGAGGCTCAAAGTGGAATTCTAAAACCGAGCTGAGATGTTTTCTGTTTTCCTTCAACGCCATTCCGTTTGGAACGGCCTCAGAAATTCCATCCCTCGTCCGTTTCTGGAGCATCAGGATGAATCTGCTTCTCTGAATGTCAGGGTTGGTCGTGTGTACACGAGCGCCAAACCGGTCGGTCTGGAATCATCAAACGCTCCGGGATTAAAGCTCACTGAACACTTACTTTCACAGTCGCCACACCGCGCTCACAATCATAGAGGAATCCTGTTCACAGTGTCGGAGTGGTTTTCTGCTGCGGCTTTTAGGATCTTTTTCTCTCACGTTTCAATGATTTTTGAAGTAAAATGAGAAGAATGTCCAGCCCCGAGACAAAAGAGCAGCTCCACACATGAACGGTCTCAGGAAGCTTTACTGTTGACAGGACCCAGAACTGATGCTCACATTTCCTGCAGTCCTCAGAAGTCCTCTGGACCTTCAGCAGAACATCAGTCTGTCACTGACAGCTTCATAGACAGACTGCTGTCATTCTAGACAACATCTAGTCATCTCCAACATTCAGAGTCCAACAAAATCTCCAGATCGCCGTGACACCTCGGAGCTAAATGCACGACTTTTGTTTGTTGGCTCGTTAGAAATTGCTGTTACTTTTGTCCGCGTCGAGTTATTTCAGTGACCGCTGTGGGTTTTTCTTTCTGGAGTCTGGAGTGGAATACAGAACTTCTAATGTACTGATTGTTTACCTTGAAGCTGCAGCACGAGCTCAGACTCATGAACACACCTTAGTGACGCCGCACCTGTACAGGCACGAGCTGAAGCGTTCATGAGGAAGACAATACACAAAAACGTTTTCCTGATGCAACCGTCCCCGAGGCCAACCGACTTCCAGTGTTGTATCTGTGATGTCCCGGTAACCACGGCAACAGCTGCTGCGGCTCTGCATCCTGGTGACACCCGGGTGAGTCAGACTCACCTTAACGACCGGGTTTATTCACCAACAGCTCCCGACCCTCCGGTTGTACCACAGTTATCAGCAAACGGGATGCAAATTCCTAAAGGAAACCGGAGCCAGAAGCAGGGGTGGAGGTGGGACGGCGCTGTCATCATCACTTCCAGGCGTGAGCCCCACCTAGGTCTCGGGGAGGGACCTGAGCCGGACAGAAAGCAGGGGAGTGTCAGACTGAGTCGGGGTGCAGCAGTCTGTCTCCTGCAAAGCGAAAACGATCCGTTCTTCACGTGTTTTCTTGGATTTCCTCGACTTGGACTTGTTTTGTTTCACTTTGAGCTGGAGGAGGTATGCGCACGTCGTCAGGATAAGACGCGCACGGATGCACGCTGAGCAGATTCAACACCAAACTTCAGAACTCTGAAGAGTTGACTTCAAATCTGAAAGGATTACAGGTACAGATCTTTACTTTACAGACAAATGTTCGGTCAGGTGGTCTCCGACGTTCAGTGCACCTGTAGACAACAGGATTCAGTTACAAATGCCTTGTTTCTCACCCTTTTAAGCCTTTCTGGTTTCTGATCTTTGTAATAATCTCCTAAACTTTGTACTGAAACGACTATCTCTCCTGGGTTGAATGAAAATACCGGATTAAGTGAGATGATATGAAAATGCAGAAGGATAGAAAAAAGAAGGTGAGGGGCCAGAGGAAGGTGCTAACACCAGCAAAAGGTCATCTCAGGATGGAAACAACGAGTGGTCTGTGCGCTGGCGGAAGCGACAGGCGTCTGTCAGGAGTGAACATCTCTAATCTGAGTGGGAATATAAACCCGACGGATCCTTGTAGTCTGTCTTGTTTTGTCTTTAACACTCTGCTGTGGAGATTTCCGCCTGCAGCTTTGGGCCTCGGCTCCATTATCTGCCTTGTTGTGGCACGTTGGTCCACTCCCAGAGCCGAAGCTCTTCCTCCTCCTCCACGCTGCAGCATTGTGGACTCACGGATCTGTTTTCTCTTCCAGGTTATCAGAGGAGATTAAAAAGACAGAAGTGAACCATCTGGTGGGTCGTTAAAGGGATTATGGCCCTTTCAGTCAAGAGGCGCACAACCTTCCTCCCCTTCCTCTTCCTCTTCAACGCTTCCCTCACCTGCCTGTGTCAAACAACCAACAGCAGCTCCGTCGGACTCACAGCCACCCCCCCACCCGCTGCCTCTAACGACACGCTCCTGAAGGGCGTGCGAGGCTGCAGCGATGAGCTGCGGTCGGTTTACCGGTACCTGTGTGATCGCCGGGCCATGTGGGGGATCGTGTTGGAGACTCTGGCCTCTGCGGGGTTCCTGCTGAGCGTCGGCCTCATCGTGTGCTTGCTGCTCTGGACCTGCTGCACCTGCACATCGTCGAGGCGCGGCGACAGTAACGTCGGAGGCACTGTGCTCTCCACGTCCATGTTCCTGCTGGCAATCGCTGGGATATTTGCGCTCACCTTTGCCTTCATCATTGGCCTGACCCCTCAGACCTGCCCCACCAGGCTCTTCCTCTTCGGGGTTCTCTTCTCCCTGGCCTTCTCCTGCCTTGTGGCCCGCTGCCTCGCCCTGCTGGGCTTTGCAGCCGCTCAAGGCTGGGGGGAGCCGGCTGTGGCTCTGGGACTCTTCACGGTGCAGGTCATCATCTCCACCGAGTGGCTCCTCATAGTGCTGGTGCGGGATGAGAACCCCTGCGACTACAGTCAGAAGGAGTTTGTCATGCTGCAGATCTACGTGCAGTGCCTCCTGGCCGTCGGTCTGATTCTCTCTCTACACTTTCTGAATCGCTCCTGCTCCACTCAGTGTTGCAGCTACACCGGACCGTCCAACAAGAAGCTGTGGCCACTGGCGCTGCCGCTCTTCCTCACCATGCTGCTCTCCGCCTGCATCTGGGTGGCGTGGATCACCATGTTCATCAAGGGAAACCCCGACGTGGGCCGTCGGCCTGTTTGGGACGACCCGGTCCTGAGCATTGCCCTGGTGGCCAGCGGGTGGGTCCTTCTCATGGGAAATGGACTTTTCCAGCTGGCCTTCATCTTCAGAGTGGAGGCTGCCTCCAGGGAGGCCCCTCTAACCTTCAGGGGCTGGACCAGCGCCGGAGGCGACATCCCTGGACTGGGAAGCCACAAAGAAGGGAGAGAAAACGGGAGTTTTGAGAATGAAGTGGAGAACCGGAGAGGTGAGAGGCACAGAAAGGCAGGAAGTTTGTTTCTACTTATTTATTCTGGACAAACTTTTAACCTCAGATTTTTGTTTACATTCCATGATTTTGTCCAAACCATCAGAAGATAAAAGAAAAGTGTCACACACATAATTTATTAATTTAACAGCTTTTATTCTGGTAGGGAGCTTCATCTGAGATACGTGTAAATGTAAAATTAATTTGTACAATAAAGAAGTTCCAGCCCTTTCTTCTAGTAAAACAACCCTGACCCTAACCAGAAAGGTTAGCCCTCTCGTGGTGAGCCTTCACGGCGAACTTTAAATAATAACCTCATTTTTAGCCGCCTGTATTCCGTCTCCCTTCAGGTCGGAGGAAGGAACCGTCGCTGAGGTCGCCCTACGAGGCGGACTTCACCATGGCTGTGAGTATTTCACTCTCTGACCTCTGTAACCTCTACATGTCAGCAACAAGGAGTGTTTCTGTGAAAGATCTAATTGTGGACAGCCTCTGTTTAGAGAAATAGGGTTCACACATATTTTAGGATTGATGAGCTAACAGCTAGTCTAGGGATGGGTACCTTTGACATTTGAATCGATTCGGTACTAACTCCCTGTACCTAGGAATCGATACCGGTACTTAATGGTACCAATTTTAGATACTTTTGAGTGTTTAATATTTTAATTCTCTTTTATAATAAAATATATATTTTTCTCAATATATAACCATATTTGATAAATATCACGATAAATAACATACAACTGTTTGTATTTTAACATCATCCTTGTAGTTTTATAAGCTGATAATTAAACTGAAGCAAACATCTTTACTGTGAACTAAATTTACTGTCTATCTTCATTCCTTTTGCCGTCCTTTATCTTTTGATTTTTCCTACTGGGAAGTTAGAATTTCCGAGGAGAAAGCGAACGCACCATTAGCTGATAACAACGGTGGCAATGGAAGCTAATTCATCAAGCTAACATTATCTTAAACAGTTTATTTAGCTGTTGGAGCAGATTAAAACGATGATGCCTCACACTTAGATCGTTGTCGCTGGTTTCATCTTCACCCAACCACCCGTCACATTTAGTAAAGTGAAGCCAAACTTTAGAGCACGTTCATGTTCTTCTAGTCAGAAATTCGGAGTTCCGAGGAGAAAGCGAACGCACCATTAGCGAAACGGAAGCTAACAAATCAAGCTAAAGTTATCTTAAACATTTTATTTACCTACCGGAGCAGATTAAGATGAGGATGTCTCACTTAGATCGTTGTCGCTGGTTTCATCATCACCCAGTTACCCAGCACATTTAGTGAAGTGGACCCAAGCTTTAGCGTGCGTTCTTTCTACCATGCTGCTCTGTTTACAACTGGCTCGCAGCGACCGACGACATAACGCTCTTGCACATGCGCAGCTGTCTAGGCAAGTTCTCGTTATGAAGGACGGGTACCGAAACGAGGCACCGTTTCAAATGACGTGAATCGGTGCTCAGTCGGTACTATGGAATTCAGTCGGTACCTTAAAAAGTACCAAATTCGGTACCCATTGCTAAGCTAGTCAGATCTGTAAAGCTGAGCCTGGCCATTCTGCAAAGACTAATTTTGGTCTTCTGAATTTGAGATCTTATTCTTTGGGTCATTGCCCAAAGTTCATGACTGCCTGTCGATCTGAATCCTTTCTTCGCTGGTGAACGTGACCTCGAGATGCTTGAAGTCCTCGAAAAGTGATTGTTCAAACAGAATGTTCAACTAGGATTTGATGATTTTAGAATGTTTTTAAGACTAGACATCTAGACCATCTGTAGCCGTAGCAAAACGTTTTGCTCTGCAGGTTGTAGCCTCAGCTGGTCTACCATTGGCTCGGCTACGTTTACACCCCTCAGCCAATCACAGCATTCTATGTTTGTAGAGAGATGTTGGGCGGGGCAGAGTACCATTACGGCAGAGCCGCAACAAAGACGTCATATACGTAGATGCCTGGTGGACTGGTGCTGCCTACTGGAGCTGGTGTAACAGCGGCCCACCATCTTGGATGGGTCCCATTCACCCTCAGTGCAGTTATTTCCACTAAGGAAGGTGCTGCCCCTGGTGGAGGATCTACGGGAATCATTTTTATTTCCTCGTTGTTACAATCATATACAGAAGCTCATCTTCGTGTTGTTTGGGGACATTTTTGTCCTAGCCGTTAGCTTATCAGTCTGTAAGGATATATAAACTATTTTTCCAAACTGAGGCTGTTTAGAAGTACTTCAACAGTTTATTTTAACTTTATCAAAGATGCTTTATAAAAATGTCTCGCTGTGTGTTTCAGGAGATCGACACTAACAGAGACTACACCATCCCCCGCCCTCAGACCACCAACTACACCGAACCGTACGATCAGTGTTACGAACAGGAATAAAAGCCCTTCACCTGTCTAATGTCTCAAAAACTAAATGTACCCCAAACCACAGGTGTCCAGGTGAGCACGGATTTGTGAATATAAAATATAAAAATATTCCCACTTCAGTGTTGATGAGTGCTGCCCTACCCTGAGATTGGTGCAATAGTCCGGAGGTGTGAAACTGTCACCGTGGAGGCACCAAACTGCTGAGTAGGGCACGGCCGTCTCAGAGCAACGAAGTGGGCAGGGATCGAGATGAAAAAGATGAAGTGAGATCTGGATGGGTTGAGATAAGACCGGAGGAGGACGGGGAACATCTTCACCCTTACCGTGCTGCTCCTGCAGGAGTTGGGTCCTTTCCCCTCAAATATAGATCTCTGGTTTCAATAAACGGTTATATGGAAGCTTTGCATTTGTTTCTTGCATTTAGAATAAATAAAACTCACAAAGTCAATAACTTAAGTCAGTGTCTCTTTTGAAAATTAAACACCTTAGAGCTGAAATGCCACCGCGTCACCACAAGAGGGCGACGTCTGCGTGCATCAAAAGCAGCACCACGGATTTGGAGGTCAAATACAAACCACCTCAGAATATCATAAAAAGTTCTTTTTTATCAGCAATTCAGCCTAGAAAAAAATTCTCTCAATTTCAGATTATATGTGAAAATCAACTTCCAGAGCCTGGAGTTGGAGCAGAGACACAGGATCCTAGATGCTCCATGGTCCAGAGTGAAAATCCCTGACGATGGTTTCAGGAGCAACATCCTCTGACGTCTACCGGGGCATTCCCTCTGCTGATCAGTGTGTGTGTGTGTGTGTGTGTGTGATCGACCAGTACCAGCACAGACCCAGTGGAAGACGAGACGCAGCCCAGTTGTCTCCATGCCACTTAGCTCTGATTCACTAATTCATGCAAACCAAGCCCGGCCCAAAACTGGCACTTCATAGGCCTCCATGTGTCTGATGGAGCCTCTGATCTTATGAGACAGATTATCGGAGGTTATTTATAATCTGTAAGACACTGTGATCAAAAGTATTCAGTCTCACCACAATCTGACTTTTTTACACATAGAATTTTTATTCAACTAAGTTTTTTTTATTGTTTAACTCAAAACACACCAGCAAAACTGTCATCAGTAAAAATTCAACTTCAGAAATTTGGCAGCAGAAATTCATCGAGTGAGGTGACCTATTGACCCAAGTCAAAGCAATCAATCGAGTCAACGCCTCACTGGTTTACGTGATCAGAGAAGAGTCATTTCATTGGCTAAGAGCCACTCGCCTCCATCGAGTGACGATGACTTCGGCCTGGGTCACAAGGTCACCTCAGTAGTTGAATTTTTGGAGCTGAAATGCTGAAGTCACGCTGAATTTCCACAGTTGAATCGTCATGAATGGAATTGTTGCCCTGCGTATTTTAAAGGGACTTTACGGAGTTTTGAATTTTTATGCTCGCGATTGCCCCCTCAGGCCAAAAGCAAAACAGCAGCTTCAATAGTAGGCTCGTGCACGAGGCGCGCATGCTGTACGTGCACACTCCTTATTGAAAATAACAGCTGAGACAGTCCCGTGTGTGTGTGTGTGTGTGTGTGGCCCGGAGGACAGAGGACAGGAGAACGAGCAGCTAATTAATTAAATAATTTGGTTCTGTAGCTTTCTCTTCAGCACAGCTGACAATGGTTTAAGATGGGTCAGTCCTCCTGCATGCTCAGATCATTCCCTTCCCTTGCTTGAAAAATTGTTCCAAAATGAAAGTTGAACCCACATCTTTTTTTATCTGTGAATTCAATGCCGTTCGGCGAGTCTCAAACAAAAATTTGGGCATCTTACTGTAAAAAAATATAAATTAATGTAAAAAAGAAACTAAATAAATTATGTTCACATCCAGAATCGAAGCCAGGTCTTCTGCATGGGAGTCAGACATCTTGCAGGGTTGGCTACACTCTAGTAACATTTACAGTATCGGTAACATTTATATCCTTGATGACAGCTGAAACAACGTCAAATGGCTATTTTTGTTGCTAATTTGCAGGAAATATCTAGAAGAAAGTTCTAAAGAAAGTAGTTAAGGGTCCTCAGAAATGTAGCTAAGTTTGTCACTAGGCGTTAGGAACAGCTAAAGCTATGGATAGCAAATGCTACGGGCTATGCCTGAGCGTGAACGCGCATGAAGCAGCCTGCTCGACCCGAGCATCTCTCTTTTTCTGTGATTTTACAGAAAAACAGGCAATCACAGTAAAAATGCCAGGGCTCATTCTACAGGACCAGGGCATTGCAGGAGAATGTATGAAGAAGACATTTATTATTTCTATACATGTTTTGGCTGTCAAACTTCCATAATGTCCCTAAAAGAAAAGTCAAATACGTTATTTCACAGAAACTTCCGTGTCTAAAAAAGTCGTGTTCCAGTGTTTCCTAATAAACCCCTGAAATAAATAACAGCGTACGTGATGAGGCTACTATCCTAGATTTAAAATTGAATTAGCTTTAGAAGAAATCCTGGCGTGTTAAGTTGTACCTGTGTGTCATTATAAACTCCTGCAGCTGTAATCACGTCCTTTCACTACCCGCCACCCCCATCCCATTCGTCCTTTATCGTCTCCAACCATCCCAACTTCAATTACCCAGAGATCAAGCACACCATCAGATTTGCAATTGGCCTCTTGTGCATTAGAGCAATTAACGGCAATGTGAGGTTTCCCGGCACATCCAAGGCGTCTACGGTCATTAACTCCACATGCAATTAAAGCTTGATCCAGACCGGTTCCCCCCGGCGGCCGTGAAGTTCTGGAGGTGGTGGAGGAGCTGTCACACGGACCGTTTCAGATTTTGGTGCACAGCAGGAAAGGCTCAACATCCACTTCATCAATCAGCTGACGTGAACGACCCCGTGTGCTGCTGAGGAGGAAAACCTTCTGGATTCTTCCTGAACACAACAGTTCTGGAGCAATCCCGCGACCCCAGCTCTGCTAAATCCACACCGGTGTGCTAAAAACCAACATCTGGCAGAAAACGATAAGCTGTGAGGAAATCTTAAACATATGACACAACATGCTCTTGAATAAAGAGTCATATCTGACAAACACGTCATATTCTGCCACATGAGATAATTCAGCCAGGAACCAGGATTAGATTAAGGGGTTATCCACTCACTAAGTTGAGATTTATAGTTCAACACAAACATTTTACTTTATATATTTGGTTCCAAGCGTTTATGTAACCTACTAATATGCAAATCTATATTGGATTTACAGTAAAACCTTTAGAAAGATGGATTCTTAAATAAATGTGGCGAAAAACACCGTTTTTATGATCTAAACCCTGAAGTTTGTGCAAGAATTAAGTACTTATCTGAGCCATTTGTTGACGTTTTCCTGAACAGCCTCCGTTTGGGGAAACGCCTGCAGGACTGGCGAGCTAACAGCTAGTCTAGATGCATCCCAGTAACGCGTTGTAGTTTAAAAGTGTGGAACACTCGTTTCATCTACACATTTGCAGCGGTCTCTAGGAACGAACGCCACGATCCGGGGAGAAAAAGCTCCGGTGTTCCTGTTTCAACACGGTGAAATCAGCTGGAGGATAAAGTAGCTACGGACAGCACAATTTGGAGATTTCCTGGTATTTAAACATCTCTCCTCTGATTGGATAACAGCAACGCAACTCTACCACTGACTCTCTTTGCTCTGCAACGTTGGTGTTTTATCTCCACAAAAACACAAGCCTGGAGGAGTTCTGCTGTGTGGTGCTGCTAATGCTAACGGTTAGCTTCTACTAGCTGAGACGTTCTCTGCAGTTTCCGGGACGCCAAAACAACAACAGCCTTCCCTGTTGTGAGCCAAGATGGGTGAGTCCAGGAATGTTAAGTGACAGTGTGACGTTTAATCAGAAATAAGAATTTAAAAAAAAGTTTTTTCAGTGTTCCACAACATTCTGTCAGTTTTGCTTTATTTTTATTCCTAGGAGTTAATATCATTAGCAGAGAAACAGCCTTGCTGGCGCATTTGGGGTCAAATTCAAATTTTTAAAAATTATTTCTGGTAAATTCACCATTAAAGTACTAGTATCAAAAAATGTAAAGGTGTCGAGCCCCATCGATGGTGTCCATCTTATTCGTACAAACTCCAAAGGTGAGTAAATTATAGAGTTAAATCCAAAGATTATTATTATATAAGGGATTAAAATAGCAAGTTTGACCTCATTTAGCCATTTGGTATGAGCAGGAACTCGTAAACAAAACCCAACCACGTTAGACGGGGAACTAGGCAGCACTGGCTTGCTTTTAGCACCCCCTAGTGTCCATTTGGTGGAACCGAAAGCAAAATCCTCTGGCTGTGTGTTTGTCTTTTAACACCTGAACCTAACTTCTCCTCAGCATTCATTAGTCTCTAGAGGAGCGATTCATCACCAAGTTAAACTAATCAGCTGTGTTGGTGATCTAAAACATGCAGGAAGCAGACTGAAGCACCACGGCAGCCAGCTCCACTTTTTAAAGACCGGACGGGCATTCTGAAGTTGCAAGTGCGATATTCTGGCACACAGGGGGTCTGTGTGACGTCTCATTAACACTGTAAAGCGTCATTTTAGCGCAAACTGGATCAAGAAAATGATTTAAAATGATGAGAAGTTGCTAAGTATCCCTTTAATGATGAAAATCGGAGTCACGTGGGTTTATAAAATAATATTTACATTAAACTCTAAAATGAATTTCAGCCGTTTTGGTCTTTGCACTCAGACTGGCAGTTAGCTCATCAGTCTTAAGGATGTAAGCTATTTCTGGGAACAGAGGCTGTTCGAGACAGCATCTTATTTATAACCGGATACAAAAACAACCTTAAGTCAAAAATCTCCTAAACCAGACGGCAGGTAAACGGAAGACCAGGATAAAAACCCAACAGTTTATTTATTTTATATACATAATAAGAGAACAAACAGAAGACAGACACGAGGATGGCAAAATAAAACATCATGAGAAAATACACGTATTTACCGTCACTTATTTAAAAAAGAAACCACTTGGATAGATGAGCTTTCAGGAGCATGTGACGCTGGAAAAACAAAACCCTCACATGCAACTCTGACCCATTCATTCACTGCTGTACAGAATCTCCTACTGGTCTGACACGAGCACGCTTCCGCCGCCGTGTCCTTCCATCGCACCCCCACAGCTAATTAGGAAACATGCAGACACGCCGCCGCCGCAGGAGCATCAGCCGCCTCCGCTGGGTTAAAACTTCATTACTTGAAAGATCGGACATTATTTCATCGTGAAAAGAAAAAGCACACGGTTCTAGATAGACCAAATTCAACTGTGGACCTCTGCTGGGACTGGCGATCGCCATGACGACCACAGAGCAGATTACCCAGACCACTAAAACACTTCACACTGGACCCTAACTAACCTTCGCTGTCACCGCCGTCCTGCTTCATGCCCCCCCCCCCCCCCCCCCCCCCAGCACTTAGATTTGAACTCATGCACAAAAACATAAAAACCACTACTGCACCCCCGCCCTCCTGCATGCATAGCAACACTTCTGATAATACTCATAGGGAATAAGACGAGATAAAAAAGGAGGAAATGATCGTCAGAAATACTGGTTTGACCTACTGCACACACACCTTCCTCACCCCCCCCCCCCCCCCCCCTGAGGGGGGGAGGGGACTGTTACGCTGTCAGCTCATGATTAATGGCTCAGCTCCACCAACACACTCCCCGTCCGCCAAAGCGTCCACACATCGCTTTATTGTGCAGAAGGAGGCGGCTGCTGACGCTGGGCCTTGTTTGACACAGCCCCCCCCCCCCCTGTAATTTGTCCCCCGCTGAAGAACGCCATCCAAAATGTCCTCTCACATCTCTTTGACTTCCTTTTGTCTCCACCGTGTCCGTGTGTGAAGGTTTTAAAACAAAGCATCAATAAATTAAGCGCGTGCAGCAAATGAACCCGAACCGGATGTTCCCCAGGATGCTGCAGGGCGAAAACGCTGCAACAGTGGAGGCAGAGAAATGAGAATTACCACAGAAATAAGTAATACATCCAAAAAAAATGTGCTTTCTTCTACAAAATCTTTGGGACCAACAAAAGGCAGGTAGCAACAACAAGCTAGCTCTAAAACGCAACAGGACAGGTGCAGCCGGGATTCACTGGAATGAAAATGAGGTTTAAACTACAGACGGATGAGAAAACCATCATTTCACACACTTTATGACGCGTGCCTCCCTGTCCTGGAGTTCGTCTGATCTTCTCCTCGTCTCCAGGAGAACGAAATGGACAGCGTTCAGCCGTTTCCGGTAATTATCGTGGAGGAGGAGGAGGCCGCTGAGCTCCACACGAGTCATGCTGCAGGACGAAGAAGTGACGATGGTTTTTCTTCTCAAAGGCAGAGAAAGGAAAAGAGAAGCTGAGGTAATGCAGAAAAACAAAAACTGGCTTTCACACATCTGAGCACGACGCGTCTGGTTTCCCACGGCTTCGCTCCACGTCTGGGTTAAAAACGACCAGACGGGACGCGGATGGAGTCCATCGGTGGCTTCATTTGTCCTTTCAGTTGGATTTTCATCAGAAAAAGAAACAATAATTCCTATATCTTCTGTGTGGAGCGTTCCTTTACAGCTGCAGATTTTTCACTATAGCTTTATTTATAAACAGATGCGATTACGGTAGTGGGTAGAAGCTCCGTGTCGTCGTAGTGCTCAAAAACACAAGTACCAGTGTACTGTAGTACTCTGGGGGAGCTGTCTGTGCGTCAAGTCCAACGCCGCAGGGACGAGCTAACTGTGTGTGTGTGTGTGTGTGTGTGTGTCAGATTAGAGGAACGGGGGATGACAGGGAGGGACTGTAGTGCGTTGGGTCACACAGGAACTGCAGCCCCTCTCACGTAGTGTTTTTAAAAAGGATCCCAGAATCCTGCCTTTGCAGTTCCAAGCAGCTGGATCCAACTTTTGCGTGAAGGAAAAACATCCTTTCCTTCGATTCCACGTCAGCGACAGACGGAGGAGGACGGGCCGAGGGGAAGACGTGGCAGGGACGCTTCTCGCCACAAAGAGAGGGAGGGACGCCGGGCAAAAACCCAAAACAAAACAAAAACACGTGAGTCTGCAGAAAAATGGAGGGGAGCTGCTGCCGAGCGCAGAGCTGGAGACGGGGTTTCGGAGCAGAGAAATTCCTTGGATGTGGTTTTAGTACGGAGCGAAGCGGCTGTATCCCGCTCGGTATAAACTGGCCTGGAAAACACAAGGAAACAAACGCTAGACAGCTTCTTACTTTGTGACCTGATGCGACAGCTTTTGTGTTTGCGGGAACTCACCATGGCGCCGACTCCGTAGGCGGCAGCAGCTGGAGCTAAAGCGTGGTACGGATCTGTGGTGTACACCCGACCGTAACTGCAAACGCGAAACAAAGAGCTGAAACTTCCACCTTTCACACATGACTCCGTCTCAAACGCGTCTAAGTGCATGAAGTCGGACTCATGTTGCTTCTGAACACACTTCAGCAGGAGAGACTCAATCCAGCATTTGTATAAAACACTTTGCTTCTCATTCTCAGAATCAGAAACATCCAGTCAGTTAGAATTAAAGACACAATCCAGAGTTTTCCCACTTCCAGGAATTATGTAGGGTCTTTGTGTGTGAGTGTGTGTGTGCTCTTTCAAATATACAAACCTGCATAAACGGAGTAATGTGAGAATAATAATTGTACGTGTTTTAGCTCTGTTGGCTTCGAGACTCCCTCACAAGCAGCTGCCGGCGGTCTGAGGAAGATTAAACTGCACAAAAACATCTGCAGCAAAGCTCCGATCCGATCATGTGATCGGAAGTCGGGCCCAATAACAAGATTCTAAAAGGATCGGATCAGGAGACAAAAAAATAATAATTCGGATTTAACCTTTTAAAACAGCAAACATAACATTTTTAATTAATCCTGAGAGAGATTTTCAAATTTAATAACAGTGGCTTAGTTTTAACTTTATAAAGTTCCTCTAATATCCAAACAAAACATTAACGTCACAACTTACGGCAGGCGAGGACTCGGACACCAAGACGCAGCAAGCAGGCTAACGCAGAGGTAACGCAGCTCTAACGCAGAGCTAAAGCAGCGCTAACGCAGCTCTAACGCAGAGCTAAAGAAGCGCTAACGCAGCTCTAACGCAGAGCTAAAGCAGCTCTAACGCAGAGCTAAAGCAGAGCTAACGCAGCTCTAACGCAGAGCTAAAGCAGCTCTAACGCAGCTCTAACGCAGAGCTAAAGCAGCGTTAACGCAGAGCTAAAGCAGCTCTAACGCAGCTCTAACACAGAGCTAAAGCAGCTCTAACGCAGAGCTAACGCAGAGCTAACGCAGAGCTAAAGCAGCTCTAACGCAGCTCTAACGCAGAGCTAAAGCAGCTCTAACGTAGAGCTAACGCAGCTCTAACGCAGAGCTAAAGCAGTGCTAACGCAGCTCTAATGCAGAGCTAAAGCAGCTCTAACGCAGCTCTAACGCAGAGCTAAAGCAGCGTTAACGCAGAGCTAAAGGAGCTCTAACGCAGCTCTAACACAGAGCTAAAGCAGCTCTAACGCAGAGCTAACGCAGAGCTAAAGCAGCTCTAACGCAGCTCTAACGCAGAGCTAAAGCAGCTCTAACGCAGAGCTAACGCAGCTCTAACGCAGAGCTAAAGCAGTGCTAACGCAGCTCTAACGCAGAGCTAAAGTAGCTCTAACGCAGCGCTAATGCAGCTCTAACGCAGAGCTAAAGCAGCTCTAACGCAGCGCTAACGCAGAGCTAAAGCAGCTCTAACGCAGCGCTTACGCAGCTCTAACGCAGAGCTAACGCAGCTCTAACGCAGAGCTAAAGCAGCTCTAACGCAGCGCTTACGCAGCTCTAACGCAGAGCTAACGCAGAGCTAAAGCAGCTCTAACGCAGCGCTAATGCAGAGCTAAAGCAGCTCTAACGCAGCGCTAACGCAGCTCTAACGCAGAGCTAAAGCAGCTCTAACGCAGCGCTAATGCAGAGCTAAAGCAGCTCTAACGCAGTGCTAATGCAGAGCTAAAGCAGCTCTAACGCAGCGCTAACGCAGCTCTAACGCAGAGCTAAAGCAGCTCTAACGCAGTGCTAACGCAGAGCTAAAGCAGCTCTAACGCAGTGCTAATGCAGAGCTAAAGCAGCTCTAACGCAGCGCTAACGCAGCTCTAATGCAGAGCTAAAGCAGCTCTAACGCAGCGCTAACGCAGAGCTAAAGCAGCTCTAACGCAGAGCTAAAGCAGCTCTGATGCAGCTGTAACGCAGCGCTAACGCTGCGCTTACGTGTCTCCTCTGGAGAGCTCAAATGTCGCCAGCTTGGTGACGCGAACTCAGACAAAAACGCGGAGCCAGCCGACTGCAGAAGATACGCTAATGAACAGAAGCTGCTAACAAACTACATTACAGTGGGTTGTGTCCTGCAGTGCCCGAGCTGCAGGTAGCTAAAGGTGTTGTGCATGGAAAAGTTAGCTTTTTGCAGCTCTGCTGCTAAGCCCGTCTAATGTATCTATAAAAAGAGCGCTGTAATTGGCCCCGCCTACACTTAGCCAAGCCAATGGCAGACCGCTCTGCAGAGCTAAGCCTTTAGCTAAGGTTTGTCTAGATTTCTCGGGCTAAAAAACATCTGAATGCTCACAGTAACTAAACAAGGTTTAGTGAGTTATTTTTATTTATCACAGAAGGATCTGGGTTATGTTCTGGTGGTGTGTGTGTGTGTGTGTGTGTGTGTGTCCTGCGCTGGCCTCACCTGTCACTGTAGGCGGCTGCTGCGGCGGTTGCTCCGGTTACCGCTGCAGGCTGAGCGTAGCGGTAGGCGGCAGCGGCGGCGGCGGCAGCAGCAGCAGGGTAGCCTCCCTGGAAACACACACACACGCGCACACACACACACACGCGCGCTAACTGGCATGACTCCGAGGAAGAAATGTAATCATTCTTAAAATAAGCACACAACTAGATTATTTAGGACTACAAACACAAACGTTTCCCCACATTTACAATAGATAGGATGTGCTGAATGTGGAAATGTGGCGTTGGATGTGGGGCTAGACATTTTGTACATGAGAGAGAGAGAGAGAGGGCGAGAGAGAGAGAAGGGAAACTGTGTGAGTACTAGGGAGAGAGGGAGGTAAAAACAGGGGAAGATGAAACGCTCACGCAGCTGAGGACATGTTGATGAGACAGAAAACTGGAATCGTGGAGGGAAACCGCCGACAGCCTGACTCCACAGGATGTTCGACACATTTAGTAATCTGATTACTTGTGTTTATGTGTGATTACAACAAACACAGAGAGGAAGGTGGAAAACAAAGTCACACAGAAACACACACCCCCACACAGACACTAAAATCACCTCCATGCATGACCCAGAGTTACAGTCGAGACCTTAAAAATGAAACCCCCCCCCCCCCCCCCCCACACACACACACACACACACTGCATCTGAGCCTGATGTGAATAGAAACCAGCAAAGCCCAACAGAAACACACTGGAAGAGGCCTGCAGGGGTGGGGGTTTAATAGTGGTAGGATCTGCTGGTGAGAGGAAGAGGAGGATGAGGAGCTGTTATTGGGTGCGTCTGCATGCAGCAGACGATACGCTTCACTTATTATCCCACGAGGGCCGGTTAATTCAGGAAGAGAGCAAGTTCTCCTCCAGGCTTTAAGAGCGTCTCACGCTGCTCCACCCAGAAGCTTTCAGCATCAGCGCTACTTCTGATCACAGACCAACACTTCCACCGTCACCACTTTATTTATTTAAAGTGCTGAACAGTCTGGAGAGGATGTGCTACAGCAGACCAGGGACGGCCCGGTGACCAGATCGCTGAATGGTCGGCGCTTCCTTCATCATCACCAAACAAACAAAACGCCGTCTAGGAGTGTGTTTTTATGTTCAAACTGGAAAAAAGTCAGAGCTGAATCGAAACACCACAGACTGTCCAGGTCTGGAAGGAGATCATCCACCACCTCATCAGGAGCATGCCCAGGTGTTGCACGGAGGTCGTTCAGGCACGTGGAGGCCACGCCCACTACTGAGCCTCACTGTGACTCATTTTAAGGACATGACATCACAGATGGACCGGCCTGTAGTGTGTTTTCCCCCTTTACTCCAAATCCAGACCTCCATGGGTTGATGAATTTGATTTCCTTTGTATTTTTCTGTAATTGGCCCACATCCTGCTGTTATTACTGTAGTTATAACACTCAGCTGCCAGGCGGCTCATGGGTTTTATTTCTTGAGTAAATCAGGATTAGAGTGGCCACTTTTTTAGGCCGTAATGTTGAATTAAACAGTAACTAAAGATTATGACATATAAAGCATGGCAACTGTAGTTCAGTCCATGCTGCCCCGCTCTAATTCTATCCAACTGTGGTAGGCTGTTTAATCCGAATACCATCTAAGCTGGATTAGTTCAACTGGATTATAACACCTCTAATACCACTCAGGCCAAACTCTAAACCGATAGCTACCAGTGTTATAGTTTGGGTGCTGCTGAAGCTGCTAAAAGCACTAAATCACATTTAAACAAATTAAAAAAGTCCCAAACGGCCTTTTTCAGGATTTTTACCCCCAAGAAAACCTCGTTTCTCCACAAACAGACACGCGAGAGCAGGTTCTCTCCAGAAAGGACTGAAGGGGGAAGACAGTTTAGTAGTTTAGTGAACAAACACGCCCCCTTCCCCATCACTGGAATATAAACATGAGTGAGTTAGTAGGAAAACAAGCAAACTTCCAAGCAGCTGTGGCTTTTCTTTAACGGGAACTAAAAGGCGGCGTGTTCCAGATCAGATCATAAGATGACTCGGAAGATCAGAGGAGGTAGTAAACACAAAGCACACTGAGGGTTTGGTGTTGAGTTGACCCTACCTGAGACAATCTGGGACTAAGGACTGAGTCCTGAAACACTAGTCTACAGAGAAAACAGAAACAACTGTTGTCAACCTGGATACACACACACACACACACAGATGCACACTGCCACACCTGCCTACAGAGCAGCCTTTTTACTGGTGTTTCAGCTCGTATCGACATGTTCTTAAGTACTTTCAAACCCAGAACCCCCGCTGCATCACAAATTTAAAAATAAATCATCTCGTTTGATCAAGGCTCTTCTTCTTTCCTTGTGGTGCTTGTGACCAGTTCACCATTATGCAGGCAGCTCTGTGCAGAGCATGACTGGATGCACATGCAGAATCACCCCAGAGAAGAAAAACAGAGAGGTAGAGAAAGAGAAGGAGTGGAGGCCACGAGGGGGAGGGTCAGAGGTGTTGTGTTGGTTGCAGGTGAATTTACTTACATAGATCTCTGCAGCTCCGTAAAACCCATCCTGATACACCACGCTGAGAGCAGAAAGACACGGCATAGACATGGGGGAGGAGGGTGTTGTGGAGGGGAGGGGGGGTGCAGACGGAGTGGAGCACAGTCCCAAAACCCAAGGTGGAGGAGGAGATCACAACAAGAAAGGGAGAGAAGAGAAAGAAAGAGAGAGAAGGTGGTTATTTCACACCCATGCAGCATGCAGAGGAAATGCAACTTCCATTTTAGCTCCACGAGTGCAGCTCCACTCTAAATGTTAAACGAGTGCAGCTCCGCTCTGAACGTTGACCCCATGATTCCACTACCTCCGCTGTGTTTCGCTCCGGCACGAACTCCGCAGCAAAATCGGTCCCGTTGTAGTCAATCAGAGCAATTCCACTACTGCGGCCGTGCGGCGCAGCGCGCCGCCCTCCGTTCCGCCATCCGGCAAAAATAGGATTGATTCTATTTTTGCCGGACGCCGGAGCACCTCCGCAGTCAATAGACAGGAATCACAACCGCCCAACAGGAAAGGGAGCAAACACAGCTTCCGTTATTTCACAATAAATCGATAACAAAAAGCGTTTTTGTTTCATATGCACAGGTTTAACAACTTTTAACAACTATCAATGGCGGCTGAAGTTTAAATGCACAAAAGTAAGCCATAAATACAGTTTCCACTATCAAAGTAGTCGCCCTTTGTTGATCCAAACACTGCTGATCTCTAAACACAAATGATGGGCAGATTAAACAGTTAATTTCGATGCTTCTCCCACACAACGGGTGTTTGGATCTAACTTCCGCGTTCATTGCTCGGACTGTATCGCAAGATATGGCGTCAGACCCGTGCCACAACCCGTGCACGCGGATTGGGTCCACATCGCGCGTGTGAACGGGACTCGCGAGTGAAAATATACATGGCGAGAGGTCATTTGTGCACTGAGAGGGAGCAAACTGTGTCTGTGAGCGCACAAGGATGTGCACAAGTGACAAACCTGCGTGCGCGCGTTGCCAACGAGCACACGGCAGAGGAAAACGTGCGCACGCGGCAGCCTCTCGGCGCGCTCGGTTTCTGACTCCGCTCGCTCGGCTGTCAAGGGGTTTTGGCACTCTGGAGGCGTGGCCTGTGGCAGATCTTCTCTGTTCTCTGATTGGTTAGTTTTGCCCGTACTTTATCCTCTACCTCATTGGCCCATTGGCTTCCTGTCGGACCAAAATGATGAGAGCTATATCTTTATAAAAAATCTGATATTCAGTAGTTGTCATAGCTCAGCTGGTAGAGCGGGTGACTCTCACCCCGGAGGAGCCAGGTTCGAGTCCGGGCAAGGAAAATAGAGTAGGTGTTGTGTTATTTTTTCCTAATTCCTGTGATATTATTTTACAGTTGTGACCGTTCAACTGTCATTAAACGTCCGAATGTTTGCTGGGCAGTGTTTTAAAAAGTGCACATAAGCCAGATGGTTTTAACCATATAAAATTACATTTTTTGTGATACTGGAAAAATACATACTGAAATAAAACTACTGATTGAAAACTTTATGACTGTGGTTGTACAATATATGAGTCACTAATACACTGCAAAGGCCCTTAGAGTGGGGCTTCCAGAGAGAGAGAGAGAGAGAGAATTTGTATTCTGTCAAAGTTGTAATATTACTTCAGCCACTCTTGAGAGGAGACTCCAGGTAAAAATAGACTTGTGGGTGTAGGTATGTTCAAGTTTAAAAAGTTCTTGCCTCATTAATGTATTGTTTATTTTTTTCAGCATTTAATTGACAAATTATCCTTTCAAATAATTAATTGATGAGTTACATAATTGTCCATTTAGAATTGTTGAATGGACTGAGTCCAGTTTGGTGCACTTTATATATTTCAAAACATGTTTTTGTTATTTTAATGATGCATATAAATAATTTAAATGTTAATTTAATGAAATAATTCTATTTTTTCATTACCTCACCCTTGTTTTGACAAAAACGGGACCTTGCTTTAGTAAATCCTTACTTTGGTTAAATAAATCAGTTGTTGAACCCCCACTCCTCTGTTTGGTCTCCTTTCTTATTACAGCCCACCACTTCCAGTCTGGGTTGTAACAATCTGCAGACAGATTTCTGAGTATCTCCTCCTTTGGTATATAGATCCTCACTGAGCCAAGTACTGTGAACAAATAGTTTCTCCGTGATATTATCCAGCAAGGTCCCGTTTTTGTCAAAACAAGGGTGAGGTAATGGAAAAATAGAAATATTTCATTAAATTAACATTAAAATTATTTATATGCATAATTAAAATAAAAAAAACATGATTTGAAATATATAAAGTGCACCAAACTTTACTCAGTCCATTTAACAATTCTAAATGGACAATTATGTAACTCATCAATTAATTATTTGAAAGGATAATTTGTCAATTAAATGCTGAAAATAATAAACAATACATTAATGAGGCAAGAAATTTTTAAACTTGAGCATACCTACACCCACAAGTCTATTTTTACCTGGAGTCTCCTCTCAAGAGTGGCTGAAGTAATATTACAACTTTGACAGAATACAAATTCTCTCTCTCTCTCTCTGGAAGCCCCACTCTAAGGGCCTTTGCAGTGTATTAGTGACTCATATATTGTACAACCACAGTCATAAAGTTTTCAACCAGTAGTTTTATTTCAGTATGTATTTTTCCAGTATCACAAAAAATGTAATTTTATATGGTTAAAACCATCTAGCTTATGTGCACTTTTTAAAACACTGCCCAGCAAACATTCGGACGTTTAATGACAGTTGAACGGTCACAACTGTAAAATAATATCACAGGAATTAGGAAAAAATAACACAACATCCACTCTATTTTCCTTGCCCGGACTCGAACCTGGCTCCTCCGGGGTGAGAGTCACCCGCTCTACCAGCTGAGCTATGACAACTACTGAATATCAGATTTTTTATAAAGATATAGCTCCCATCATTTTGGTCCGACAGGAAGCCAATGGGCCAATGAGGTAGAGGGTAAAGTGCGGGCAAAACTAACCAATCAGAGGACAGAGAAGATCTGCCACAGGCCACGCCTCCAGAGTGCCAAAACCCCTTACAGCCGAGCGAGCGGAGTCAGAAACCGAGCGCGCAGAGAGGCTGCCGCGCGCGCACGTTTTCCTCTGCCGTGTGCTCGTTGGCAACGCGCGCACGCAGGTTTGTCACTTGTGGACATCCTTGTGCGCTCACAGACACAGTTTGCTCCCTCTCAGTGCACAAATGACCTCTCGCCATGTATATTTTCACTCGCGAGTCCCGTTCACACGCGCGATGAGGACCCAATCCGCATGCACGGGTTGTGGCACGGGTCTGACGCCAAACAAGATCTCGAAAATCTCGCGCACACCTGTTTGCGCACATCAGGTCTCCGCACCGGAGCGGAGCCGTTGTAGAGCGGGTACAGTATTATTTGAGTTCGGAAGCGAGGGCTGCGGAAGGCGGGGGCGGAGGTAGTGGAATCTTGGGGTAAAGGAGTGCAGCTCCGCTCTGAACGTTAAAGGAGTGCAGCTCCGCTCCGCTCCGAACGTTAAAGGAGTGCAGCTCCGCTCTGAACGTTTAAGGAGTGCAGCTCCGCTCCGAATGTTAAACGAGTGCAGCTCCGCTCCGAACGTTAAAGAAGTGCAGCTCCGCTCCGAATGTTTAAGAAGTGCAGCTCCGCTCTGAATGTTTGAGGAGTGCAGCTCCGCTCCGAACGTTAAAGAAGTGCAGCTCCGCTCCGAACGTTAAAGGAGTGCAGCTCCGCTCCGAACGTTAAAGAAGTGCAGCTCCGCTCCGAACGTTAAAGGAGTGCAGCTCCGCTCCGAACGTTAAAGAAGTGCAGCTCCGCTCCGAACGTTAAAGAAGTGCAGCTCCGCTCCGAACGTTAAAGGAGTGCAGCTCCGCTCCGAACGTTAAAGAAGTGCAGCTCCGCTCCGAACGTTAAAGGAGTGCAGCTCCGCTCCGAACGTTAAAGAAGTGCAGCTCCGCTCCGAACGTTAAAGAAGTGCAGCTCCGCTCCGAACGTTAAAGTAGTGCAGCTCCGCTCCGAACGTTAAAGGAGTGCAGCTCCGCTCCGAACGTTAAAGAAGTGCAGCTCCGCTCCGAACGTTAAAGGAGTGCAGCTCCGCTCCGAACGTTTAAGGAGTGCAGCTCCGCTCTGAATGTTTGAGGAGTGCAGCTCCGCTCCGAACGTTAAAGGAGTGCAGCTCCGCTCCGAACGTTAAAGGAGTGCAGCTCCGCTCTGAATGTTTGAGGAGTGCAGCTCCGCTCCGAACGTTAAAGGAGTGCAGCTCCGCTCCGAACGTGAAAGGAGTGCAGCTCCGCTCTGAATGTTTGAGGAGTGCAGCTCCGCTCCGAATGTTAAAGGAGTGCAGCTCCGCTCCGAACGTTAAAGGAGTGCAGCTCCGCTCTGAATGTTTGAGGAGTGCAGCTCCGCTCCGGACGTTAGAGTACCCTCTTGAGGCTGAAACGTTAGGCTCATGCTGCTGTTGCCCAGCTACTCTGAGTGGCTCATTTAGCAGGAACGACATTCAGTTGTGCTAAGGGGAGGAGGGTATTTCCTGCATCCTCTAATTTCATCTTCTTCAGCTGTGTTTAATCACATCACAGCACATAACCACCAGGTCATTCCTGCTTGGATCCTAAGCACTCCATTAGCCAACCATCCCAGCACAGCCGCATGCACGGCGACGACAACAGACCACGGCAAACGTGAGCTGCTTGTAGCAACTCGCTGTCCAAATCAGTTTGTGTGTGCTTATGCAAATCTGCTGATGCTGGTTGCTGCTCATCTACACAAGCATCTGCTGGTGAAATCCCATCAGCACGTCACGCTCCACTGGACTGCCTGTGAACTGGCTGACAATCTGCCAGTTGGACTGCAGATCAGAGTGAAGTGTGAGTGATGTGTGAGCCTGAAGAGTGAGTGAACGCTTCAGTCAGACAGCGGCCTGCGTGGATAGAGCTCCAGAACACGATTCATGAGGTGAGGCTCAACAGATTTACGCAAGCAGCACACTCCACAGGTTCTGATTTCTTTTTGTGTAAAGGCCCACAGGTCTGGAAGAGCTCGCAGCACGTGAGCTGAGCAGCTGTTGTTTATGAAGAGGCAGCTTTTCATTACCCAGGGTAGGCAGGGATGGCAGGCTGAGGCACGGCGGCCCTCACGGCGCTGTAAACGGGCCGCCCTCGGCCCCTCAGGTGGGCGCCACGAAACGCTGCCGCCGCGGTGGTGGCGGCTGCAGCTGCTGCTGCTGTCGGGTAGGGAAACCCTGGCACTGGAGGGGAGATGGGGGGAGGAAGAAGCAGCAGGAATAGAACAACGTGAGAGGAAAACAGGGCTTGGTGAGCAGAGCTTTAACATGAAGACTGGATTGAAACGTGAATGCAGTCAGCAGACAGACGGAGGCTGGTCGTACCTGCGTAGAGCTCTGGTCCATACACGGCCCCCACCATGGGACTCAGTTTCCACCCTGCTGATGGTCCAACCGAACAGGAGGTGAAGAAGATCAGTTAAACCATACTTGCTGTGTTTTAACGAGTGAGCAAAAATCTGGTCTTGAAATAGATTAAGGTGCATTTAACCCAAGCTCCAACATCTCATCTTTACAGGTGCAGCTAAAACTTACATTCACACAGAGTCAAGTCTAGAGGACACAAACAGATCCAGCTCAAGAGCAGCTCTAGTGCTCCTCAGTCACAGGAGACGCGAGTCCCAACGGACATCAACTTCTGGAATCGACCCAGGATGTGTGTTAGCTTAGCACCGGACTTTCATCTGCACTGGATTCATTCTAGAAGTCAACCTGATTCAGGGTGGCTGCTATCTCTCAGCGGGTTTTACAGGTACCTGTCGTAACTGATCTCACACACAACACAGGGATGGATCGAAAATCCTTTCTCAACTTCAGATGTTTGAATCTGTGACGTGAACGTCAACGGCGATGTGAGCTCCTTTAAGGAATTGCCACAGCCCTTCTTTCTGCTGAGAGATTTCACTGCAGCACAAAACGCTGTTGATGGCGAGTCGAAGCGCTAACCTGAGCCTTTCACCTGAGTGGCCGTTGTGTACCTACGCCTCCAGCTGTACCTGAGCTGTTTGGGCTATTAGGCCAGTTAGAGTTCCTGGTTAGTGTGCGTCATTGCGGCGGTTACCATAGGGCAGCGTGCTGAGAGCCTCTCCATTAGGGTAGGGGCTGACCATTTTCTTGTTAGTCATCACCCTGGCGGTGGCGTTATTCACCTGAGGGGGGTGGGAGGAGCAGACGGTCAACAGCACAGACACAACAGAGCAAAGAAATGTAGCACAAAACTCTACATGTATGCAGAAGGCTGGCGGATGTTTGAGTATCAACAGTAAAATGAACATCTGGAGCTGTGACGAGCTGCTGGGCATTTTGAAACTATTTTATTTCCTGTGTCGTACAAAGTAATGACTGATGTCGTTTGGAACAACACTTCAATTTTTATTCCCTAAAAGCTTTAAGATGGATGCTGTCGAGATTTGAAAATATTTTTTGGAAGGAGCGGCTAATGCAACACTGATGTTGTAACACGTTAAGCTATCGCTTTCAAACTGGTTTCAGTGGTTCTTGAGCCGAAAACCTGGGGAGCTTCACACTGGACAGCACTTTATTCTACAGCATCATGGCCGGGACGTTAAGTAAGCGAGTAATGTCTTTGGTGGTGAAGCAAAGAGCTAAAACCAAAGGGAACATCGGCGTGGCCTACGCTAGTTTGTGGGAGCTAAAGGAGGCTATGAAACCACGGACTGGTTGTGTCGCTACTGGACATGAAAGTAATACTATTTTTTGTGCCAGTTGGCTTGTGTTAGCATTAGCAGATTATTAGCACTAGCTACAAGGTTAATTAAAACAGTTGTAATTCCAATTTCAACCAGCAGGAGGGAGAAGCGGGAAACTTATTTTGTGTTGCTTAAAGAGCAAGTCACCCCCAAATAAACTTATTTTTCTGATAAACTACATAAATGCGAGTCTAATCGTGCTGCAGACACGTGTAGTCACTAGTTTTGCACTTTGGTGCATTTTGGTTAAAATTTTAATGTTCTGCCTAAAACTGTCAGTGTTGTGCCGTTGTCAGGCAAAAACTCTGCACTGCAGTTGAATTTAAATCTGCCATCGCTATTGGCTAAGAGGTACCCTAGAATGTTAGATGGTACCAAATGATGTCACAATGTCGTTGTGAGCCTGTGTGTGTATATTTGTTAGCGGCTCCGCCCCTCGGACTGCTAGGCAACAGCACTTTTCAAACAGGAAGTGGGAGTGGAGTAAGTGACTTGCTCTTTAAAGACTTAAGAGGAAAGGAGCTTGCAAAGCCCCAATTTTTCAAACAAATCAAGTGAAGATTAAAACTTTTGTTGCTCTTTTTCATTGAAAGCAAATAAGTAGTTTTAATTTTTGTTTTGCTTTACTCTGTCAAAATTCCATATTTTATATTCATTCTGAAAAATAAAAACAAATCAAACAAATCTAACATGAGGGAAAATGTAACAGAAATCATTTCATTGGGCAACAGTTTTATAATTCACCTAAATTTATGAAGAAATTAGTCAATTTTTGCTACTCGTGAAACCTGACTAGCAATGAAGTCAATTGTTTTTCTCAGTTAGAGATAACTATATGGCCTGCAGATATTAAATAACGCGGGAATACACTTGTGATGACTAGTCAGTGCTAGTCTGAGCTCTGATAAAGCTCTGTTAAACATCCGTCAGACTCGTTCTGTCCTCTAATGCCATTACGTTGTCACTAGGGGGAGGAGCCTAGTGTCTCAGAGTGAGGGCAGAACTAAAATGATTGACTGTAATCCTGATTTGTTTTTAAGGAGCAGGCTCGGGCGTATAGAATTTCCTGAGAGCTTATATTTTGTTTTTTTGTGTTAATATTTGATTTAAATCTGTAAACACGTCCAAAGTGAAACGGGACATCACGTGTGGAGCTAAATGTAGCTAGTGACGCATCCATGTCTGTGCTTAGATTTAGGTGTAGAAGTAGATGAAAATGGTTAACGTTGAGTCATGCATTTAAAAGGCAAGCTTCTGAGTGGAGATGTAGTGATTCGACGTGAAGAGATGTAAAATGGTGGCACAGCAAAAGAAAACGGAGCTGCGTGTTTATTTAGCATGCCCGGGTGAATAAATCAAAGGTTCTTTTGGTTGTGTCTGCATATTCTGTGTAATCACGCTGGCATTTCGGTCCAATGTTTAGGCTTTTAAATCTGAGACGGCTTCTAATCTTCTCTCCGAACTTCAAAGGCTCTCACGCCGGCGCCTAGATCTCTCCTCGTCTTCCTTTTGATGGGCTTTAAGAGCGGGAGACTGCAGCTCTGGAATAACACGCTCTCTCCGAGTGTGCCGTCCGAGCTGCACGTT